AGTGCTTTAATGAAGACTACGAGGGCGTAAAAAACAGATGGGTTAAAGTCCCCGTAAATCAAGTACAGACTATGCGGTTGTCTCGTAGATGAAAGGTTGTTATAAAGAACTTCCTATTGAATAACAATCGAATGGGCAATCCCTCTTTGAAAATTGCTAGAATTGTTATATTGTGGGTGATACGAGAGGAGAGAGACGCGACCTCCAACTAACCATTTGGAACGACCGAATCTCATCACAACTCTTGCTGTGGGGTTAATCAGGCTCATTAAACGTGACGATAAAGAGATTTTGTTGACTGGGTTCCGACTCCTTGCCTGAAGCCGCAATCGCCGTAAGGGGGTTGTAGAAGCTTGCTTCAGGAAGTCACGCTATCTGTTGAAATATACATCGCACAATAAAAATCTGCCTGACTGTATGGGGATAAAATGTGTGTAAAACTGCAAACATAATTTAAGAACACCACTCTGTACACAGTACATACTTAGAAAATAAGTAGTACACAGAGATAGAATTCATATAGTACGAAGTCTGTATAAGGGAATAAACTCTGTGTGATTTTTTAAGTCAAATCTGTGTAATAATTGAGAGAAAAGCATAGATAGGAAAGTTGTGTGGGCGAGTGTGCGGAGCTCCACCAGAGAGGGGAAGCTCATTCGTGGTCAGCTGCTGCCCTCTGGTGGCGAACAGGGTGTGTAACAATATTTGACAAGAATTGTCCAGTATATTAAATAAATACAAACAAACACATATCAACATAGTCAGATAATATAAACGAGGTCAATCATGGAAGGAGATTTTGAAAAAAATGATTAGCGTTCCAATTTCCGGAAGCTTCCGCGAGCAACTGGTCAGGTGCTACCATCTGGTGGCCAATAGGGTGTGGCACAAAACAAACAGAGACTAATGGTAAATTAAGATTTGGCTCCATCTGCTGGACATATGATATATAAGTAATAATAATATATAATATATAACTGATATATAAGGCTCGATATTTCTGAAAATGAGAACACCGTTAACGGCATTCTATTTCAGAAAAAGGGGGGATGTAGATCAGGCAATATGTATGTGAGATTATTACGTTTTTAAGAGAAATTGATAAATTTAAAATAATCTAGTTTTGGTTCTTTTTTGTTTTGTTTTGTTTTGTTTGTTTCTTTTTTGTTCGGTTTTGTTTTATTTCTTTTGTTTATTGTTTTCTGCATAGTCTTTTGTCCACACTCCAGTCTAGTTGGTGGCGGTAATGCACCTACAAGTTGGTTTGCCAACCCCCAATAAACACTAAAGAAGTAGAAGAGATGAGTTCAAAACCATATTTCCAGCAACTTAAGGGCTTGGTATGAGACTTCTCCACACAGGTTGCTGATGCCAAAGGGGGACCCGAGAAACACGAGGCCAACACAGCAGAGTTCGTCTGGCTGAGAGTCATCAGGCCTAAGTGACTCAACCCCAGGTTTTCCGGCCCCTACCGAGTGACCCAAAGGACCTCCCATGCCGTCCGCCTAGAAGGAAAGGGAGACAACTGGTACCACTGGAGCCAGTGTGCGGTCGGGAAAACACCTGCGAGGACCCTAGACGACATCAGGACAGATCTGGCCCTCGTCAAGGAAGTCGACCCAGGAGGCGCCATCAGCGGACCGGAGGAGGAGAATCGGGACATCTCTCCAGCATCGACCCGGAAGCCGCCATCAGCGGGCTGGAGGAGGAGGATCGGGACATCTCTCCAGCATCGACCCGGAAGCCGCCATCAGCGGGCCGGAGGAGGAGGATCGGGACATCTCTCCAGCATCGACCCGGAAGCCGCCATCAGCGGGCCGGAGGAGGAGGATCGGGACATCTCTCCAGCATCGACCCGGAAGCCGCCATCAGCGGGCCGGAGGAGGAGAATCCAGAAGACATCTCTCTAGCAGGCAGCCCAGAAGCCGCCGTCATCGGGCTGGGGGGACAAATACACGGCAAACCAAGACGGCACAGGGAACTCCACTTCCCGCTGAAACAGGTTGATATAGCCGGTGTGGAACTTTGTTTTAACAATCCATTTTTTGAGGAACTCTGAACTTTGTTTTTATATCCCATTGTTTAAGGGATTTGCATATTTTTTGCCCATTGTTTAAGGGATTTGTTTATTTTTATTCTACAGAACTATGTGTTAAAGGTTCCAGGAAATGTTGAAGGGTTCTTTTGGGGCAGACTACTGACATATGTGGGGACCCACATTTACCATTAAAAACCTATCGCTTAAAATCAATCACTAACCAAGTTGGGAGTAACTCCTGTTTTACTTTCCAAATAGGCCCTTTTATCATTACTCAACATCTGGACGAGGGTAGATGTCTATTTAAATACTCCTCGTACTCAAGAGGGTTTTGGCATATCTGGGTCTCAATCTCCCTCAGGGGGCACGTTTTGTATTCTGGGAAACCAAGGTACGATCGCATTGACCATTGGTAATATACGGTTTAAAGATACCAGAAGAATTGGAGCTAACAGCATAATTATGTACGGGCACTGGAGAATGGTAGCAGGCCTGGGCCTCCTACTTACCATTATGGTAACGATAATTTTCATTGTTTGTAAAACTAATGATGTTCTTTCTCCAACTCTCGCCCCAGAGGAAGAGATAGTAAGGACCAAAAGAGGGACTAGAGTAGCGAGCCTTATGTCCCCAAAAAGAACCTTCACTCTCCAAGAAGGTAGCGACGGAATAGTGGACATAGATCTGTGCGCAATCGCCCCATGTTCCAACTCTGACAAATCATACTCAGGTCTCGCTAAATATGTCTGCCTCACCCCAACAGTCTTCTAATTTCTGTGGCTACTTTTATTGCCATTTTAGTGACATGTGGTTGTTGTTGTGTGCCTTGTATCCGCTCATTGTCTGTTAGACTCATCAGTTCCACCATTGAGGGAAAAGCTGCCCCTTCCCCTTCGTACCAAATGCCCTTGTTGGCTTATGCGTCGGAGGGGGAAGAGTACGATGACTCAGCCGACAAGGACGAACTTTTTTAAACATATTTTAGTCTCCCTCCACTGTCATAAGAAGTTGTTGTAGTGGACTGTTCCTACAGGTTTAAAGTGCTCTAAATCCCAGCTTCTGATGGATTTATATAAATGTTGGGACAGACACAGTAGAAAAGAATGACAGTGGTTATGTTTCAAATGCTATATGTTGATCTCGTGAGGTGAGATCAAAAGAGGGATTGAAGTAAACAGATATGGTTCTAAACTGTATTGAAGTAAACATGTATTATTTTGAATTGTATTTTAGTGAACATGTATTGTTTGAACTGTTTTAAGTAATCACATGTATACATATTGTATTCTCACTTACAACTCACTGACCCAGAGATCCTGTTACACACACATACACCTCCTCCCACCAGCACACACACACATATTCTTTTCAAGGTTCTTTCTGGGCATCATTATATCTGTGCACAATGTTTGGTTGTCTGGGAAAGAATAGTTTGTGTGAAATATGCCATGGGAAAGTAAGGGAGTGAATATTGGTGCAGAGATAAGATTGACTCTGCCGTTGTGAACTTCCGAATCTCAGAAGAAAACATACTTTTTCTCAGAGCTCTGATTCGCTGTGTTGGACCCGACCAGAAGTGAATCCAACCAGTAAAAACACCTGGGGGAGTGAGCAGCTCACACAGCTCCTCCCCACGGCCTCTCTGATTCGCTTCGGAGTAAAATGGGAAGGAAGAAGTCAACACATCTCCGCCCCAAAATATGAATATGAATACTGTTGTTTATGCATGTAAAATGCTTCTTGTTTGCTGACTGGCTGGTCCCGATACCTGTATCGCACAGCAGTAGAAACCTGAAGTCCGGAGTACTCTGTAAAACTTGTATACGTGTTTTGTTTCTTACCAGTAAAATCAGATTATTGTTATAACCTTTAATTCCGGTGTTTTGAATTCCTTTCTTTATTAAATAGAACCAACCTCATCTAACGAACGGCGCGTAGCGGAGGGGGGGGGCTTTAAAGCCACCACCAAGGTGTTTGCTACAACACTAGCTGCCGGGCAACATGGCATTAAAAGAACGACCCATGCTGTTATTCCTGTTTCCTGTCACTATAAGAGGTGATATGTTTTTATTGTGTTGTGCAGAGAATCTTTTTTGTGACTTCTTCTTCTCGACTGACTTTGTTACCTTTCCGGGACAGGACAAAGTTTGATGGCAGTCACTCGCAGCAGCAGCCCCTCTCTCTTCCTGCTGTGTATTCAACAGGTGCTTTCTCTCTAAAGCTGATGACCGGTATGTGAGACCTATTCAGTGTTTCATTGAAGGTTTTTTTTTAAGTGTGCATGTAGTATGTGGTGGATGAAGTAGTCACACGCTTTACCTCAAGGACCAGCGTGTAGGATATAGTGGCATCGAGCAGTGATGTTGCAGATTTTAACAGAAAACCCCTCCCCTCTCAATTTCCAGGCATGTTGGAGAACTGGAGTTTTTTTTAAATATATCATTTATGTATCTTTTTAAAGGAATCGCCCACTAAAGACAATGTGTACATTAATTCCTTACGTTGAATTCTCAAATAAAACAAACAGTGTAGTATTTTTTTTTTAGTAGACTACACTACTGGATAAATGGGTCTTTGATTTTCCTGCACAAGTTTTGTAAGACATTGTCAATGGATGTTTTGCTTTTCTTAAATGCGACCACCATTTTAATTAGAAAAAACCCCACCTGTCATTGTTTAATACAAAATGAACATTTATATGTGAAGTATTCCTTATTTATAAGTTAGAGCATTTTTTCAACCAATAAAGAAACACTCAATCACAGTTTCAAAACTCATTACAGAATCACCTAATTCAAAGTTACATGGTTAAATATAATTGATTATACATTTAAATCTACCTAACTTTATGAGTTAAGTCAGGCAATTTTTTGGGGGAAAACAATATATAACTGAGTATAAGCAGAAACACAGAAATATGTTGACTTCAATTACGGTAAGTGACGCTTGTGTTTAATTGTAGAGGACTGGACAGGAGAGACGCTCACCAGTGTCTTCTACACCGGAGACCTCCTGCCCCTCGAGGCCTCTTACAGCAGTCCTGATGCGGGACACAGACGCCTGTTTATCGACGGCTGTGTCGCCGCTTTGTCTCCTGACCCGAGATCAGTCCCCAGATACTACTTTATCGAAAACCATGGGTAAGAGAAGCTCAGAATACAGTATGATACTGATAATTGGCTCTTAAATTGCATTCAAATTTAATTTGTTTCGTCAGGTGCTTCAATGATGCCAAAGAGGACGGATCAAATGCACTTGTCAATCCCAGAACAAGATCTTCTTCTCTTCAGCTGCAGCTCGATGCCTTCCTGTTTCCCCAGGACACAAGGAACTCAGTGAGCCACTTCTATAACCTGAATGATTTTGTCATGTTTGGAAATGCTTCGAAGTTGTATAATGACATTTCTTTGGTCTCTCTTAAACAGCGTCCAGTAGTTTCTGGAGTCTCTTGTTCTCCTCTTTGGAAAGAGACAGCTCCTCCTCGTACTCTGCTATCGTTTTTTCAAACAAAGCAAATATATCTTCAGCAGCAGCAGTGAGTCGCTGCTTCTTCAACAACAGCAGCATTTGAACTTATTAGATTTGTATCACTTGCCAGCTGAAAGCGACCTCTGAAATGCGGAAGAGCAGCCCCGTCAACAAGGCCTGCAATTATATAAATTCAAGGTGCTTTTATTACTTATTTTGTGAATTGTTGCTCCTTACTGTAATATTGCAAAAGGTTTGTCAGTGTATCATTTACAAAGGCTCATCATGTTAACAATTCTTTATAAGCTAAAACTGGTTCAAATTGTTGCTATTAATATTTCTTGCTTCTTAAAGTGGACCTATCATGCTATATTTAAATGATATATTGTAGGGCCATACCTATATAAGGTATATTTATACGTTTCTGTTTTCAAAATACCAAACAGATCATGCATTTTAGCCATGCCTCATTTCGCTCTATTTGCTGTTCTCCAGCACTGTTTTGCAGGGGGCTGATTCTGTGAGCTGCAGCTGACCACGCCCCCCTGCAGGAGAGGGGAGCTGTGCTCTGATGAAGTCAGAAGAGGGGGAGAAAAATAGACCTCCGTCCTCCGTGTTTTATTATATTATTATAGGCCTATAGAGTCGTTATTCATTTGTTTTAAAGCTCAATAAATAACAAAGAAGACCTTTGACCGGCACTTTTCTAATTTTGTCCGGAAGATTTAAACTTTAACGGACATCTTGACCTGCGAAAGAAACTGAAACTGAAACTCTGCCGCATGGTCCCCTCGTTCCTTGGACGAGGCGGAGAGGTGGGTGTTTGTCATCTGCTGGCGGACTAACCGGAGAGAATTACAGTGCTTGCCTCGACGGGGAGGGATTGCATTGAATTAAAGCAGCGAGAGCAAACGCTTGCCTCGGGGAGAGAGAAAAAAAGCCACAGCGGAGAATAAACAGAAGGGTAACCATGCGTGGGAAGTCTTCTTCGCTGCTTTTGTGGCAGACTACAGCGCCACTTACAGGCCTGGCATATGTACTACAGCGTCTCCAGCGCTTTTGAGTGGCCGGCCGTGGCCCAACCCCACATTCCCCTGATAGGTGGAGAGTTGGCCCAATAGCCGTAGCGCCACTTTCCTGACGTCAGTAAAGTGTTCAAATCTGGATCAGTTTTTATCAGATCCGTTGCAGCCCCTTTTTTAGAGATTTGGGTATGGAGGAAAATAGAGAGGGTTGTGTTTTCTGACACTTGGTGAGTTCCCTGGAACACCGGGGACACATATTCATGTATAAAAGACGTACAAAAGTGCATTTTGCATGATAGGTCCCCTTTAAGTAATCAAGTTACTTAATTAAGGAAACATATATTTGTAATGAGGTCTAACGTTTGCTGTAAATATAAGTGTAAATACTTTCTAAAATGAATTTTCCATGCTGTCTCTGTACAGCCAGATCAATGTAACAGCGATGCTTACCTCAGCATTTGGACTGAAACAGTACACATGTGAGAGGAATGTGCTAAATGTAAGCTTTAAGAATATTTTATAATGTTGACGCTGCCCATGGAGTATATGTATACAAATAAATGGCTATTATTTCAACATTGGATTTGGGTGTAAATGCCCTCAACTCAAAGCTAAAGGAAAACAATGATTAATTCTGTATACTAATCATCAGATGGATAAATGTCGATGGCAGTGATGATGTGTGTCGATGTTGCGACGATACATGCTCCAGCAACTCTCCCACCGGTCAAACAAACCTCGGAAGTCTGATCCCTGAAGGTAAACTGTAAATCCTACAGTTGTATAACTTTCATAATCTGTGATCTGTCTGTGAAAACTGTCCCAACTAAATATGATTTGACTCTCACTTTCATTTTTATTCATGTTTCAGATTTGGTGGCATGTGAAACTGTTACTCTGGGCCCTTTGATGGTTTTGCCATACAAATAGGCGAAGCATAACAATCCAGACACGTATCAGTGTTTGAAAGAGGAAAATAAAATGTGAATTTCTCTTGCCTTCAAAAAGCTGAATGAAAATAAGAATGCATGCCAAGCTCGTCTTCATGGTTCAAGGTTCAAGGTTCAAGGTTCTTTATTGTCAATCTGACATAGCTACAGAGTAATTATGCAGTTGAAAATCTTATGTCACAGGCTTCTCCAACAATGCAACATAATAACATAACATAATAACAATAAGAGCAAGAGCAATACAAAAATAATAATAGTTATAAAAATGAAATAAAGTTATGATGTGGAATAGTGCAGTATGAGTCTATATACAAGTTATTGGAATGATATATATATATTAGGTATTAGATACATACTACTGAGTAGCAGTTGAATGTTTGAAGTTGTTTCAACAGTTCAATTTTTTAACAGTCTCACTGCCCGCGGGAAGAAACTGTCTCCGAATCTTCTTGTCCTTGCCAGGATGCTGCGGTAACGTCTGCCAGACGGCAACAGAAAGAACAGTTTGTGGCTGGGGTGATGGGGGTCTTTGATAATCCGTAGTGATTTCTTCCTGAGCCGCTGGGAGTAAAGGTCCTCCATGGATGGCAGCTCCGTCCTGGTGATGTGCTGTGGCAGTTTTCACCACCCTCTGTAAAGCCTTACGATCGAGGTCGGTGCAGCTGCCGTACCAGGCCGTCATGCTGCCAGTGAGGATACTCTCTATCGTGCACCTGTAGAAGTTGCAGAGTATCCTGGAATCCATTTTGAACCTCCTCAACCTGCGGAGGAAGAAGAGTCGCTGTCGAGCTTTCTTAGTGATGGTGGTGGTGTGAAGAGACCATGTCAGGTCCTCAGTGATGTGGACCCCAAGGAACCTGAAGCTTTTGACTCTCTCCACCGTAGTCCCATTGATGGCGATGGGGGCGTGTCCCTCTCCCTGCTGCTTCCTGTAGTCCACAATCAGCTCCTTTGTTTTGCTGATGTTGAGATGGAGGTTGTTCTCCTGGCACCAAGATGTCAGGTTTTCGACCTCCTCTCTGTATGCCGTCTCGTCATCGTCTGTGATCTGGCCGATGACGGTCGTGTCATCAGCAAACTTCACGATGGTGTTGGAGCTGTGTGTGGCCACGCAGTCGTGGGTGAACAGGGAGTAGAGGAGAGGGCTGAGCACGCAGCCTTGAGGGGCACCGGTGTTGAGAATCAGGGTGGAGGATGTGATATTTCCCACCCGCACTGCCTGGGGTCTGCCCGTCAGGAAGTTCAGGATCCAGTCGCAGAGGGCGCTGTTGAGTCCGAGGTCTCTGAGCTTGATGGCCAGCTTGGAGGGCACAATGGTGTTGAATGCTGAACTGTAGTCAATGAACAGCATTCTCACATATGTGTTCCTCTTCTTCGGGTCCAGGTGTGAGAGGGCAGTGTGGAGGGTGAGGGCTATGGCGTCGTCTGTGGACCTGTTTGCTCTGTAGGCAAACTGCAGGGGGTCCAGAGATTCAGGGAGGGAGGAGGTGATGAATAATTTGACTAACCGCTCAAAGCACTTCATTATGATGGAGGTGAGTGCTACTGGGCGGTAGTCGTTGGGGCAGGTGATGATTGTCTTTTTGGGGACAGGAATGATGGTGGAGTGTTTAAGACATGTGGGGACTACAGACTGCAGCAGGGACCTGTTGAAGATGTCTGTGAACACCTCTGCCAGCTGAACTGCACACACCCTGAGAACACGGCCAGGGATGCCATCAGGTCCAGGAGCCTTGTGTGGGTTAACCCTTTTAAAGGATTTACACACATCTGCCCTATTTAAAACAAAAGGGCAGTGTAGCTCCTGGTCCCTCTGTACCTCCACAGCCTGGCTGCTCTCAAAGCGTGCAAAAAAACTGTTTAGCTCATCTGGGAGAGATGCGCACGCAGACACTCCCGCAGCACCCCCCGCTGCTCCTTTGTAGTCAGTCATTGTCCTTAGTCCCGCCCACATATTCCTAGTGTTACAAGGCCTTTGAAGTCAGATTCCACCTTCTCTTTGTACTGTCTCTTTGCATTTTTTATTGCTCTCCGGAGATCATACCTAGACTTCCTGTACTCCTCCAAATCTCCCGCTGTGTGCGCGAGAGTGCGCGCTTTCAGTTTGCCGCGCACCTCACCGTTTACCCAGGGCTTTTGATTTGGGAATGTCCGTACAGAAACCTTCGGTACCACGTCATCGATGCATTTCCCAATGTAGCAGATGACAGTGTCCGTGTGTGTGTTGATGTTATTGTCCTCAAACACACTCCAATCCGTGGATGCAAAGCAATCCTGCAGTGCTGAATCTGACTCCTCGCTCCATCGTTGTACTGTCCTTGTTATCGGTCTGTCCCTTTTAAGTTTCTGCTTGTAAGCAGGCAACAACAGTAGTGAGATATGGTCTGATTTGCCGAAGGGAGGGCGAGGGAGAGCCTTATATCCATTCCGGAAAGGGGAATAAACATGGTCCAGTATGTTTCCCCCGCGCGTCGGGAAGTTGATGTGTTGGTAATATTTTGGCAAAACCTTCTTCATGTTGGCGGTGTTGAAATCTCCGGCCACAACGAACGCCGCATCTGGCCGTGAAGTCTCGGTTTTATCAATAAACCCAAACAGCTGATCGAGTGCCGTGTTGTTGTCGGCGAGTGGCTGCGGCGGGATATACACTGCTGTTATCACAACAGATGTGAATTCCCTCGGCAGATGGAAGGCCCGACATGAGATCATGAGGTGCTCTAGCTGTGCGGAACAGTCCGATGAAAATAATCTTCACATCTGAGCACCAGTTGTTGTTAGTCATTACACACACACACCGCCTCCCTTACTTTTCCCCGAGTTTGCAGTCCGGTCCTGACGAAAAATAGAGAATCCGTCAGGGACAATAGCGGAGTCCGGGATAGCGGGGTTGAGCCAAGTCTCAGTGAGAATTAACACGTTACAGTTCTTAATGTCCCGTTGAAAAGCAATCCGGCTTCTGAGTTCATCTAGCTTATTTTCAATGGATTGAACATTAGCCAGAAGAATACTCGGAAGAGGGGGCCGATTCTCACGTTTTCTCAGTTTGACCAGCAACCCGGCCCGGCATCCCCGCTTTGTCTTCTTCTTGCGTCTCTCAGGTAGAACAGCAACAGGTAGCCATGGTGAATCTCCATTGTCTGTCGGAGGGTTAATATTGTCCACGAAGTTTCGCAATTGGAAAAGTTCCTCTCTGCTATATTGTATGGCAGAGTAGGTGCGGTCGGCTAGCATGTTGCGAACCATGTTAAAAGTAAAACGGCAAAAGTTAAAGAAATATGTACAAAATACGAAAATGGGCAAAGTTGGAGAGGAGCACGAAGACGATGCGGCCATCTTCACCGGCGCATCAGTGGTACTACCTTGGCCTTTTCAGTTATGAACTCACTAATAAATACTAAAGCTGACTCACATTGTACTCTTTCCTTCAGTCTTTGTGAGGTTTTGTGGACAGCCTCACTTTATTTATTGTTCTTCACCTCTGAGCAGGAAGGGGAAATCAAAGCAAGAACAGCCGTTGAAACGCTGCAGTTGGTTTTGCACACACTGATGTTTAACTGAATTTGAAATAAAACTCAGGATGTTATGCATCAGACTTTAAAACTTGTATCCACTGGATTAACACCACTAATGTGTACAGTTAAGCAAACAAACCCTTCTCAAAAAGTTGTTCTCAGTATTTGTTAGAAATATAAACATTTCTCCCCACGAAGTACTTTATATATAACACTTTTTTATAGTATCCTAGTAAGTCTTCTTATAGCGATCCTGTTATTGATATTATCAAGTGAGAAAAGAAGATATGATATCACTTTCATGATGTATCACCGGATATGTCTGGTGTCTGCAAGATGAGTGTGAAAGTGCAGGTCAGGAGGAGAGTCATCAGCAGCAAAGGGGTGGATATATATTAGAAGATATTGTCCTGTAAACATGTACGCCGGCACAGTCCGATTCAGAAGCTCTCATAAATAATAATAAATATATATTTTTAAAGCTTTTTTTTTTTCAAAAAAAGTGCTATTCACATACAAGACAATACAATGTGTCCAAATATAAAGGAGATAATAATAGGAAAGAGTGAAAGAGGTTAGGTCAATAACCCTTGATAAGAATGGGTTCGCCCGATATGTCAGTGGTTAGAGCTGGCAGCCCATATGCAGTCACCGCTGCCTAGTAAACCAGTTTGAATCCTGAACCAGCCGAACATTTCTGTCCTCCCCTCTGTCTCCCCCTTTCAACTCTAACATCTCCAATAACGGCCCTCTGGACCAAAAATAACTAAAAAGTATGAACGGAAAAAACAAAATTGATCAATCTAAAATGAAATATTTAGGCAACAGTACAGGGTGAACCTCTGAAATGGATAATTAAGATTATAGTTTTGAACTTTATATGTTGTAAGTCATTTTAAATTAGTTGGGATGATTTTAAGTATTTGGAGGCATTTTCAATACTTTCTTAGTTTGAACTGCATGGATTGATTTTTACATGACATGTCTTATGTTTCAAACATATACTGTAGATCAAATTGTATTTATGTAGCTCAAAATCACAAGCTTTACATTTTTTATTTGATTTTATTTGATTTAGTCTGTACAGATCAACACAACATGAATAATAGTTTAAAAACATAATAAAATGACAACATAGACCACAATAATAATGTGATAGTGTGTACAAATTAAGGATCCAGGGGGATGTCAAAATGCTTCCTGCATGGTTTTCATGAACTGCAACACTAACATGTTATTTAAAATACAAAGTAACAAGCAATGAAGCAAATATATGCACATTTTAAACATGTGAAAACGCCCTCTCTCTCAATCAGCCTCATGTCTTGAGTTCAGAGTGTGCAGCCAATTAAGCTGATGGGTGTCTGATCGGACGCAGGTGTGCTGCTCTGATGAGGATAATGATCGGCGAGAGTTTAAAAAGC